GCGCGGGGAGCGGCCGGCGGGGGAGTGGGAGGTGGGGGAGGCTGGAGGCAGTTTCTTAAAGTAAGCCGCCAGTGAGGTTTGCCGCGTGCACGGTTTCTCTGTAGCAGGAGACGCTGTCCGACAGCATTTAACCCACAAAACTCTGAAAACTGGAGCCGGTCCTCTGAGACGCTGCTGCTGTGACTCCGTTCCTGTGACATTCTCCTTCCTTCGCTGTCGTCTCAGCAACCCTCACGGCACCCTCACCGGGACCGGATCCCGGCTCGGGAAACCTCGTTCTTTGCTCCTTCATAAGAGGCGAACTGCCCATCCAAGTTTTATCCTGAGACGCAGCAAGTCAGGCCCTTCCTTGGGTTCCCCGGCCGTTTCTACCACATCTGCAGCGATTTCCTCCCCAAAACTGTGACCCTCAGAGCCCCCCGTGAGGGCGGGATCAGCTTCTGCCAAGCTCCTGTGTATGTTATTTTATCCTCTTCCCATGAGCCATCAGTGTTCTTTTTTTTTTATGTTTTGTTATTGAGACACAGAGAAACACAGCATGAGTGGGGGAGGGGCAGGGAGCGAGGGAGACACAGCATCTGAAGCAGCTCCAGGCCCTGAGCTGTCAGCACAGAGCCCGACGCGGGGCTGGAACCCGCGAACCGTGAGATCATGACCTGAGCCGAAGTCGGACGCCCAACCGACTGAGCCCCCCAGGCGCCCTGAACCAGCAGTGTTCTTAATGGCATCCAGGGTGTGAACCCGTTCCAGAAGTTGCCCGTGTCTCTGCGCATGTCCGCAGAGGGGTCGTGTCCAGGGCAGCTGCAGCCTCGCGGACCTGGGGGTCGCGACGACGGCTTCCTCCCCAGGCCGCAGGATGGACGCGGCAGCAGCAGCAGGAGAGCCTCGGTCTCCCCGCTCACCTCCGCCGGAGCTCGCGGGCGCCCGGGTGCCCGGGCAGCGAGCAGCCACGCTTTGGAAGGAAGCCTTTCTTTCTGAGCAGCAGGTCGCCAGGGACTTACCCGCGGGCCACACTGAAAACGGATGTGCTGCCATCCAGGCGTCATCGTCCCATTTACGGAGCTCAGGCCGAGCAGACGAGGCATCAGCCTCAGGGGCCCGGCCTCAACTTCAAGTCAGCGGCTGCGTCAGCCCCTAACAAGAGTCAGTCTGTCCCCTGAGGCTTGGAAGGCGGGCGGGACGGCCCCCGGCTGGGACAGTCCTGGACGGCATCTCCTGATAGAAGGCTGTTCCGTCTGCGCTGGAGATGTGTTCAGAGCCGCCGCCTCCGCTCACGGTCTCGGCCGGCTCTCCTGGGTCGCCGCCCCAGCCGTGGGGACACGGCGTCTGTGTCACACCTCAGGCACCGGCCTCGGCCGCGTTACACCGGCTCCCGCACTTTCCGCCTTCTCTCAGCCTTCGCGGGATCGAAGTCAGGCCTTGCGCCGGACGCGGAGGGCACGCTGTGGCTGCTTTGATCTTCCGTCCGGACCGAGCTCTCCCTGCGACAGCAATGAGGACGTTTCCCTTTCCCGCCGCCCGTGTCGTCCACGGGCGCGGCGCCTTCATTTCCGTCAGGAGCCCTGCCTTGGCCGGCGCCACGCGGCTCGCTGGCGCGAGGGGCCCAGCTCCGGGCTGTCTTGAGCTCCCTGCCTCGCTGAGCTGAGCCTTTTCTAGATCCGACTTAAAGGGAGGGACGTGTGACTCTTCCCCTTTACTTGGACACGGAGAGGCCCTCGAAGGGCTCCTAATCGGCCTAATTTCAACTCCCTTGTGTCTCAGGGAAGAGGGAGGCGGGGGTGGGGGGGGGGGAGGGGGCCTGGACAGCCGGGGGAGGGGGGCGCGGAGCACGCCCAGCGTGTGCCGGTGCCGTCTCGCCCGCCCCGCTGCGGGCCCCGCAGTGATGACAATGCCCACATGGAAGATCACCGGCCGCCCCTCCCATAAGGAACGGAGCGCACCGGGGACGCCTGACGTACTGCGACAGTTACCAGAAGGTGCCGCCGACGGAGGTGCGCCTGGGGCAGTGGAGACGGGCCGGCTCGGGTTGCCGCAGGCCACCGCTGGAAGGCGGCCGTATCTGCGAGGCACAGGGGGGCGGGTGCAGGGCGCGCCGCGTCTCCCTGACGGCTGTCACACACACCGTGTGGCTCCCTGCTCGCCGCCTCCCTCGCTGCCGCGCGGGGCCTGCTCTGCAGCCGTCAGCCTCGCCTGGTCTGGTGACAGGACCTCAGAATGTCCTCTGCAAAGCACAGGAGACCAGCCCCTTACTTTCTTAGCTTTTTTCCCCGAAACAGACCCCCCGCCCCCCCCGGTTGCTGGTGGCACTGGCTGTGGGAGTCCGAGTGGACGCGGGCTCTTGGAGCCTGGAACCCGTCACAAGCGTGGCTTCTGTCTGTCACCGCAAGGTAGCAATAGCGACGGTTATTGCGATACGAGTCCCCGGGGCTGGCCAGCTGGCAGAAGGGCCTGCGGCGGGGTCACCCGGAGGCTGAGATTCCGGCGCTCAGGCGCGGCCGGTCCGTGGGCTCCTCCGGGGCGGTGCTCCCTCGGTGCGGCCGTGTGCCAGTGCCGCCCAGCATGGTGCCAGGCACACGCCAACCGTCGCCGTGATGAAATCGGTAAGTCCTGTCCTGGGGGCACCTGCTGTCTGCCAGGCACAAGCCCCACACTTCACGCTTAATCTTTTTTTAATGTTTATTTTTGAGAGAGAGACAGAGCGTGAGCGGGTGGAGAGAGAGAGAGAATTTGAAGCAGCTCCAGGCTCTGAGCTGTCGGCACAGAGCCCAACGCGGGGCTCGAACTCATAGACCAAGAGATCAGGACCTGAGTCCAAGTCGGATGCTTAACCCACTGAGCCCCCCGGTGCCCCTTCATTAATCTTTATAGTAACCCCACGAGGCTGGGGTTCCTGCCCCCACCGTACAGAAGAGGAAACTGAGGCGCAAATCTGTTTTGAGCAGATTTGAAGAGCGTGGCAGTGGGGAGCGAGGGGGCAGGCAGGTGGGCGCTCAACAGCCTGGCCCTTACAAAGGCGGGCGCGAGCGCACCCTGCCCGCCGCGTCTGCTGGCTGGCAGTTCTGGCAGCGGGGACCCTGCTTGCCCACGGAGACTGGAGGACACAGGCCCTGCCTCGGGTGCCGGGTGGGATAAACAGTAAGAGGCTGGGGCGGGCTTGCGCTCTCGTGCAGGCGCTTTGGGGGCCCAGTCACCTCTGGGATGTGGCCTTGAGCTCTTGGAAGCCAGGCTGGTGTTTATTCTTTACAGGCCAGGGTTGCGGCCTAGCTGCGAAGACGGCCCAGGAGAGCCTCCGTAGGGCGTCATAAAGAGGAGGATCTTTGTCAGCTGCTTTTGTTTAGACGGAAGAAGGGAAAGAAATGCATGGACGTGTGCAGGCTGCGTGCCAGCTGCTGCACAAAGTTGAGGGGCAGGTACCTTTAATGTCGCCCCCGCAGTGAGTCAAGTATGTAAGGGTTAACAGCCTGCGGTGGAGGTTAAGGCTCCTGCCGCAGGCCACACGGCCGGAGGGAGCGCAGCCGGGGGGAGCACGGCCGGGGGGAGCACGGCCGGGGGGAGCACGGCCGGGGGGAGCACGGCCGGGGGAGCACGGCCGGGGGGACCACGGCCAGGGGGAGCACGGCCGGGGGAGCATTGCCGGAGGGAGCACGGCCGGAAGGAGCACAGCCACAGGTCGCACAGCCGGGGGGAGCACAGCCGGAGGGAGCACAGCCGGAGGGAGCACATCCGGGGGGAGCACGGCCGGGGGGAGCACATCCGGAGGGAGCACAGCCGGGATCTGGGCCTTGGCCGCACCAGTCCCAGCGGCTCCGACGGCCGGCGCCCCCCATGCCAGCGTCGCTGCCCAAGGCTCGCGGCCGGGAGGCGGGTGGTGCTGGGCGGCTGTCCTCGGCTCTGCCTGCACACGGGCATCTCCTCGGGAGCTCGGGAAGCTCTGCTGGAAGTCGTCTGTGGCGCAGCCCGGACACGGGGCTTTTCAGAAGGGTGCGTGGCTGGGAGTGAGACCGACCCACTGGGCGCCAAGACTTCACGGTCATCACCCCACGGACCCCTGGGGGTCGCTTCGAGGAAGGCAGGGGGGAGGGTGGCAGTGACCATAGCCTGCAGATGAGCAGCGCAGCTCAGAGAGGCTCCGCTTGCACCGCCAGACACCTGCTGTGGGGTCAGGCCCCCGACCCCCAGCTCTGCACTCTCTGCCCAAAGGTTACTGCTCTAAAGGGGCCTAACTGAGAGGAAAAAGCAAGGTCTCTCAAACCAGAAATGACAGTTTAATTTTGCTTGGGTGATAAGTCGTTTCACTCCCCCACGGAGCACGTGGAGGGGACAGAGGGCCTGCCTCAGCCGCAGGACCAGGGCCCCAGAGGGGCGAGGGGAGGCCGCCCCGCCCGAGCGGTCGGTGGGGGAGGCCACGGCGGGCGCAGGCGGCCTGAGGCTCTCTGATAGGCCTCCTTCGGGCCTCTGCGGGCGGGCAGTGATCCCGGCTCCCAGGCACCCGCGGGAGCTGGGCACAGCCTTCTGCGCAGGGTCCTGGGCCCCCGAGCCCCATGACGGCTCCAGCGCCACCCCCACCGCACAACACGGGGCCCAGCCTGCTCCCGCCTCAGTGGTTGCAGGTTTCCCACCTCTAAGAGGTGCGAGACCGCTGCCATCTCTTGGGAGACCTGGAAACGGGGTTACTTGCACCTCAAGGACGTCACATCTGTGGGGCGACACTGCTCGCCCTTGGGGGACGTCAGGGCTTCCCAGGTGTGCACAGCGGGGAGGCCACGGTGCACGGCTGGGGACAGCGGAGCACCGCGTAGATCTGGAAGGCCTTCCGCACCCGCCTGCCCTGCAGATGCCCCGCGAGAGGCGGGGGGCGCCGGCAGCGCGGGGTCTCAGGGCCCGCGGCCCCCACGGCGGCGGACCCCGCCCACTCTAACCCCTTAAAGACACCACAGTCTCCGCTGGCTGCCCGCGCGACCCCCGGCCGTGACCGCACAGCCGGCGGCCACACCCCGGGGCGTGGCGGGCAAGGCTGCCCCAACCCCACCTCTCCGGCTCAGTTCCGCGGGCGCGACCCCTCGGCCGTTTGGGCTTCTGAAGGGCTAAGGGCGGCCCCTGGGCGGCAGGACGGTTGTCGCAGGGCGGCCCCCACGCCGAAGCCCCCGTCCGCGCCCTCCGACATGGCCCGGGGGGGCAGTCAGAGCTGGAGCTCCGGGGAGTCCGACGGGCCGGAGGAGCCGGGCGCCCCGGACAGCAGGTGAGCCGGGCAGGGTCCCGTCAGACCCGGCGCCGGGGGCGGGGGCGGGGGGCAGGGTGAGCCGGGTGCGGGGGCCGGGGGGCAGGGTGAGCCGGGTGGGGGGACCGGGTGAGCCGAGTGCGGGGGCCGGGGGGCAGGGTGAGCCGGGTGGGGGGACCGGGTGAGCCGGGTGCGGGGGCCGGGGGGAGGGTGAGCCAGG